AAAATCATATTAAACAATAACTTAACCAAAAACATAATAATACTAAGGTCTGACAGGTTTTGTCAAAATGTAACTCAAAAACTATCCAAAATGCACCGAGTCTAAAAAGAGGGTGATAGAGAGATAGCTTACCTTACAATTAATTAGGCTACTTAACAAAGCCTCATAAAAATAACTAGTAGGCCTAACTCACATACAACTTCAGCAGCAGTCTACTGATTTTCTGTTGATAAAGATAAGCATGTTAACATGCTCTGGGGTCAGATGCGACCGCAGCCTGGTGACCGTCAGTCTAGCCGCCGGAAACCCACGCTCTGAGGGGACTGACGTTACCGGGATGCATAGGTACCTCCGCGCTAACTTGGCTAGCCTGGGGAACATTTTTCCATTCACTTTCCACCAGTCTGTAGTGGTGCAATCCAGGGGTGGGGGAGTCTCCCTCAGAAAGTTCTGAAGTTCTGCTTTGATGCCAGTCTCGCATTGAGTGGTATAGTGCTCTCCAAGGAGTTGTGCCATAGCAGAGACCCGGACCTGGGATGCCGCGAGGCCCGCAACACCAATGTTTGCGCTCCCCTCGTCCTTGTCAGACAACACAGCCTCGTCTCCCCTAGCCTGTGGGATAGCCGCCCTACCGGTCTCCACTGCCTCTCCAAGTTCAACCAGTTTCGCATTAGCAGCCACTCTCTGTGTTGGTATAAGAAAGCCCAGGTGCTTGTGACGAGGTTCCAGCATTGATGAGATCATCGAAAAAAAAAAAACGTGATCAATGAAATTCTTAACGATCAATTATCAAATCGTCGATTAATCATGCCCATCCCTAATTCATACACCTCTCTAAAGCAACACTTGCCCCATTCTTGTTTATGTTGAAATGCTTTTTTACAGCAATTATATTTTTGTGTGTATAAATTGTGCAACTTTATCTTGGAGATTTTGTGAGTTAGACACACATAAATTTAATCGATGACCCATTTTTGTAAAGGGCTTTTGGAAAGGCCTTTTTAGTGGCAGAACTTGAAGATTGACACCTGTTCAATTATTTTATTTTTATTTTGCAGCTTTTATTCCTGGTCGCTATGCACTATAACTGAAGTCTTATCTGTCTCTAAGCAGCTTGTCATTAGGTGTTGAGCCTCAGTGGCATCTTAGTAGTGTTAAGGAGGAAGTGAATAACTCTACTCTTTCCCCTTTTCTTTCAGATTAATTCCATCACTGTCCACCCAGGTACCTCTTTCTTTCTAACTGGGCTAACTATGTGTTACCCTTTTGGTAATATTGCATTTGTATGAATTTCCATTATTTACTTGTTTGTTTCTTTGCATCTCATAAAGCGTTAAACACCAGTAATGATCTGCTTTCTCATTAAATGCAATAAGAGGTTCGCTCATCATGGCACTGAAGCAAATTTTAAATCCATGTGCAATGTATGGCTGAGTACATTGCAATTCTAAAGTCAGAAAATACACCAGAGCTCGCTTTTCTTTTTGCGCTACAATGCCACCATGTGGAAAAGCATGTGCATGTTCCTATGGCAGTGTTGCATTTACTTGTGGAATTCTTATAGATCAGTAAACAGAGATACATTAATGTATAGGGCTCACAGGCAGTTATTTCTGAAACCTCAAATGTTTTGACACTGCTGTTTCAAAGTGTTTCCACACAGGATCATTAATGCTATCAAGTAGTGTCTTTATAACCTATGTGCAAAATATTTTATTTTTTGATATTAATTCACATTTTCAGTGTCAACTTTTCATAAAATATAAAGTCACGCTCTCACTGTTCACCGGACATGCAAAATTGTTCAGTATTGTTCGGTACCTCCGGTACTGTAATAAATAAATAGATAATATTTCCGCTTACATATTTTCGTTTGCATTGCAGGGACATGTAAAAAAAAAAAAAAACCCTAAAAAGTTTGTGTTTTCAAGTTTGCAAAAAATATTATATTATACACCAAAGTACTTGTGATAACATGCTGTCTTCAATATAGTAACCGATGGAATACTGATCCCTTCATTGTGCTTCTGCTCTGTTGTGGATATTCTGCTTAGCTGAAAGCTAAACAAATGTAATGGATTGATGGTAATTGACCATCAACCAGTATATTGGTTGTATTTATCTTACTTCAAGTCTGATGCTGACATAGTACCTATCTATCAAATTTCTGTTAAACATTGCCTTCACCATCAAGGAGGTTATAGTTAGCAAACAAGAATATATCAATCCAACCCTTTAACAAATGCCCTAGTTTTTGTCCATACTGTCCATAGATATTATGTAACGGGAAATTAGTGTCCTGTCCCCAAGACTGCCTATATACTAATGTGGTCTCGACGTTTGTCCCACACACCAATAAGTATTCCCATGTCCAAAAACACATTCTGCTGGCTTGAAGAGCCTTTTTTAA